ATTGAATTTACTGAATAAAACTTCAAAATTCACTATTTTGGCATAGAAGGAAGAGACAATGATATTTTCAGTTCCACAAAGAATTTCCATAAACACTTATATATATGAAACCAATAAGAAAAATGTTCTCACCTTGGACATTTTTCTTTCATAAGTAAATTATAAATAAATTTTGATGAAACATATATAAAATCCTTAAAATTGTTTATGAATATAATATATTATGTATGTATAATAATAAAATTTGTGTATATAACTTGTTGGTTCGGTTCGGTTATTTCTTCTATTTTTTTCGAACAAAACCATAACCAAACCAAATATTATCGATTCTTAACAATCTAAAACCAAACCATAAATCGGTTCATTTTGGTTTTTCGGTTTGAATCGGTTTTTATGCAAACCATGAACACCCCTAGTGGAAACAATCATTTATGTTGGTATAGAATAGACCGTCTATATCATGTTTCTTGAAGTGCGACAGACTGTTTATATCATTCTTCTTGAAGTACAATCCTTTCTCAAGTTATGAAAACAATCATTAATGTTAAGATATGATAAACGGTCTATATCTTGCTTCTTGAAGTGCTATTCTTTCTTGAATCATGAAAACAATCATTAATACTCATCTAAAATAGATTGTCTATATAGTATACTTTTTGAAGTGTGACTTTTTCTCGAACTACTAATATGAGATATTTTGTGTACGAATAAATTCTTTTTTTATTTAAAGAGTTGTCCAAATATTTTTAACATGTGTTTTCCATTTCTTTTGTAAGGAGACTATCAAGTACTATGGTTGCCTTGATATTGTTTTTATATATTTTTGGCAGAATATATTGAATTTTATTTAGATATATGAACTATAATATATTTTAATTAAACACTTAAATATATAATGTGTTCAAATTAATTTTTTTTAGGTGAGGGGAGTGACAAAATCTGACTATGGGTTGAATTTCTGTTTAACCAAACAAATTTCAGTCCATTGAATTTTTTTTGCGTACAACATTCAATTTCTCACCGGAAAAAATGGAGGAGAAAACATACAAGTGAATGAGGAAATGAGTCTTTCAAATTCTATTGGTTTGTGAATTTTCTACTCCTCTTTCATGGTATATAAAACACCAAATTCGATAATTGAATTGATTTTTTGGCTCTGGCACTAAACGTTTCGTCTTCGTCTTTGTGGACGACGAAGATCGAAATCTTAAGAGGATTTCATATTCATTGTATCTAAGATTTTATTGATGAAAAAATGGCATCAGCACAAGCACACCTTGATAAGGCGGAAAATCGTAAATTTTTTCAAAATCTATGGCGCACAGATCTCATGGGCACCCTTAAAGCCGATCCACCATGTACAATTTCTCAATCTCAAAGAAGAAAATATGTTTGTATTGGAAAAATTTGGTCCTAATACTGAATGTTGCTCAGACTCTTCAAAAATATTGTTGCACCTGTCTCACTGCAGTGGTGAAACTAGGAATTTTGATGAGGATGTTCAGTACTTTAGTATATGTATCTGTAAAAAGTTGTTTTTGATTTGTATACACGTGTTATTTTCTGTATGGATAATATAATTTTTCGATGAAGGGTGTTTGAGTGACAATCCTTGGGTCAATGTAGCTACACCACTGCTCGATTGATTGATATTTTTGAAGAGTCTGAGCAACTCGTGATTCTTTTTGAAATAAGAATGTAAGGTGTGATGTGTTTGTCTTTCTAATTGTTTTTCATGTTTTGGTTTTGCAGTTTGGTGTTTTGCGCTGTGGTGGTGAGTTGTATTTTACGTTTTGTTTATTTTTCTACAATGCTGTTGATTTGCTCTTTATTTGTGTTTGTTTCATGAGTTTGATTACTATATGTTTGTGTTAAAGGCGTTCATCGTCTTGCTGAAAGATTTCATAACTCAATTGATACATAAATGTGTATATGTTTGTGGTATGACTTGCGTAGATTCTATCCTCCTAGACCCCACTCGTGGGATTTCACTGGATACGTTGTTGTTGTTGTTCGTATCACAGCAAATATTGGAGAACAGAATCCTCTGCTGAAACTTAGTATTGTAGTAGATATTGAAGAACTATTACTCTTTCACTGCTTATTGTGTCCTGCATCTTGATTACGCTTTTACTCATATTTGTCCTCTAATAGATATCACTAGTGAACTAATAGGACGCGACATGATTAGCTGATAACTAAAATGATGTAGCATTTTTCAACAAGAGAAGAGAATTGACAGAAACGTCGATTCAAGAGGATTTGTGATCAAATCTAAAGAATTTCCCTTGTAGTGTTGCCCTTTCTATTCTACTGATCTAGTACTTATATAATGTCTTTTCTGATCTCATCGACTGCAGTGGACCATGTTCATCGTATGTGCTAAGGAAACGAGCTTTATATGGCGATATGACAAGGTAAGATGCTTTCATTTGTCTTCACTAACGCGTTAGTTACTGCCTTTCTTATGAACAAACGTCTGTTCGTGACAGGTATAAGTGCTGCGCTGGTTATATGCCTTGCAGTGGTAAATGTGGAGAAAGTCGTTGCCCTGAATTTTGCCTTGTAACTGAGGTCAGCAAATAGTTAAATCGGGAATAAGATGTTGCATTTTTGTATAACAATATTCTGCTGTAATTCTGATCTATTGACTTTTGCGACTAGGTTTGTTGTTGCTTTGGAAATTCAGTGAGCTCAACTCGCTTCTTGTTGCAAGATGAATTCAACATAAGAACAACAAAATGTGATAATTGCATTATCGTAAGCTCTCTCTCTCTCTGCAAGTCTTCCTCATTTGTTAGCTCGCGTAGTTCATGTATATGCAATTTGATCATCAAACATGTTTTCTTTCCTTCCTACTAGGGTTTCATGATAGTACTCGGACAACTTGCTTGCCTATGTAGAATAGCGGCTTGTCTTACTGGAGATGAAGGACTTGAGGATGCTGCTCATATTTTGACATGTCTCTCTGATATGGTCTACTATTCGTAAGCTTCTATATATACATTCTTCGTTAGCATTATTTATTATTCCGACAAAACAATTCAATGTTGCTGTACTAAATTTGCTGCATATTTGATTGCAGGGTCTGTGCCTGTATGCAGGTAAGCAGGAAATGGTTGATTGTGTCCCAATTTTTTTCTTTCTAGTTATAGTTTGATTATTTAAGTTGCTACATGGTCAACGAGGACTCATATAGCTAATCCTGATTTGCTCGTTTATCGTTTTGATATTACTGTTGTTGAGATTGCAGACACAACACAAAGTTGAATTGGACAAAAGAGATGGCAAGTTTGGTGATCCTTCACCAATGTCAATACCACCCGTTCAGCAGATGTCGCGGATTGATCAGCCTTATGGGCCAACAGTTGGATATCCTCCGGCCTATGGGACACCTTACGGTCAACCACAACCTCCTCATCAAGGTTATCCAGCATCAGCACCACCACTAGCACCAGCTCAAGCTCCTGGCTTCCCACCGCCCTCAGCCTCAGCTTATCCTCCTCCCGGACCTTATCCACCACAACAACAACCTGGTTACTGGAGGTGATGATTTTGAAGATTTATTTATGTCGTTTCACATTAATGAAGCGCGAAATGAGTTGTTTCTATGACCACAAATTGAATAGCAACCATATTTTTTTGCTTGTCCTGAGATCTATGTAGATTTCTTTGTCTCATGAAAATATATAGTAGCCTTTTTGTGATTATTAACAGGACATATTTATGCATTGTAGAGCTGAGTTATTTTTTGGTGTTTGAATTTGTGACATGTGATGTGCTAATTGAAATGGAAAATTTTCATTTTTTGATTGTTGTTTACTAGATAAACCTAGTTCATGGATTCATAAATGTATGTTTTTTGTTTGTTTGTATGCTTTATTTAGTATGAAGAGAGTCTTAGCGCAATGATAAAATTTTATGTGAAGCCACGGAAAGCTGGAGAGTCCTTGACGATGTGATAGTATGAGTATACAATGTTCTTTCTTTCTGTGACCTATAGGTCACAGATTCGAAGGTAAGTTGTCTAGATTACATTCCTTGGCGGTCTATGACCCTTCCTCTGGGTTACTACATGCACCGAGTTCCCCCTTTTTCTTTACAATTTTCAAATTTCCATAATCATAATATCATGAAGCTTAGGCATGGTGTTTTTCACAAGCTTAGGCAATTTTTGATCCTTTATTTCCATGTTGGATTGTCATGTCAACAATCTAAATGACTCATAGACATCCAAGAATTTAATGGCATTTGTGGTTTAGAAAATACACCGAAAAGGTATTTTTGACACTCAAAACAAATGAAGGATAAATGCAAGTTATTTTCAATAGTTCTAGAGTATTTTTAAACTTTTTCCATTTAATCAACAAGGAACCGTTACCATATAAAGTTAATTAGAGTAAGACCTATATATCAATACTTTCAATTCGAAACTATATACTATAATAAAACATTTTTAAAAAAAGAAGGTTACTTCTTTTATCACTTCTTTACATTAAATTCACATGTTAATCAGAAATAGATAATGGGCATAGTACCTTTGTTTATTATTCAATAATTCACTAATGATTGATCATTATACATTTGAACAATAAACAAAATTGGTGAGGATTAAAAAAAAGTAAATTCCACTCACCTGAAATTTAAAAAGAAAAAAGAGTAAAAGACAAAATAATACTACAATATTATAGTACTAGACTGTTGACCTATGACTATATATCTTTGACTTTGCATCTATATATAAACCTTATATATAAACCAATGAAGAAAGAAATAAATATCCAATGCTATTGAATCGAGACTACATAATAACTATTGATCGAGTGATCATCTGAAAAATCAATGTTATTTTTATAGTTCAGTTTAGTAAATAAGAGAATGACTCATGATATGATCACTTGACTTAAAACGAATTAAGAAATGAAGTAACTTTCGATAACTATCTAGCGTAGAATTAACTTTTGATGGTTCGTAAATCGATAAAGTAACCATATAAAGCTATTAAGAAGTTACGTCTAATTGTGGATATAGTACTTTAGCAACATGAATCATTGTGTGTTAGTTGTAATAATTTTTCTCTTTTGGATTATATTTTTTAAAAAGGTATACTATTGTCTAAAGTGAAGCGTGGGCGGCTATTTTCTTTATTTCCTTTTTTCTTCATCTTTTTATCTACTTTTTCAAGGAAAAAACAAAAATCATTTTAATTTGTTGCATATATTTTCTTCATTTGGTGTTTCGATATTAAATTTAATTTGTCGTACCATTATATATATGCTAAAGCAAGAGAATTTCTTCAAGCCTTAAAAGATATAGAGATTTAGAGTTTGTTTGTTGAAAATTATAATAGAAAAAAAAAATGAAAGTAAAATTCGTTCAAATCCTACTATATATGTTCAATTTTTTAGCGATTTTTCCAAAAAAAAATCTTTATTATTAATACAATAACCTTCATTTTGCTCGTTCATACTAAGATGAAAGATGAAAATTATCTATTATAAAGTCATTTTCTGATATTTATTACGTACACGGTACAACTAAAAAAATATTCTAAAATAAATATTGTTTTGTAAAAAGTAGATCAAAATGATATCTTCAATTATAAACGAAAGTCATTTTTTATAAACTCTATTTTTGTAGCTCTTACTCCAAATCAATTACTCCAACAAATATTAATATAATCAATCTTTTATATACTTCGTTAAAAAAAAGTACAACCAAAACATTATCGAATTTAATTATATATATTTATTACTTATCTAATGGAAATAAAAGACGGCTATATATAAAATTAGACGGCTTCCTGTGACTTTCCATGTTTGACTAATTAGGATTTCATAACCATAACCATAAGTAATATAAACAAATAAGATTTATTTATAATAATAAATAATGATAAAAGACAAAATAAGAGAAATATAATTTAAATTAATTTAGCTGCGTGAAGCAACGAAGAAATGACCTCTCTCAATATAAATTAATTTAGCAACATTCTGTTAGTTGTAAATAGTTTCCATTTTTGGATAATATTTCCTAAAAACAACCTAAAATAAAGCATGGGCGGCTCTTTATTTTGGTGGCTTTTGTTGCCAACTTGAATCGTTGTTGTAGTGATGGGACTGCTTGTTGAAAAGTTTTGAATTCAAGTTCGAGATATGAAGAAAATTTAATTGAAAGTGTAGCCTTTTAAACTAATTAAGCTCTATAGTGCGTGAATCAAATTTTATTGAAACTTCAATGCAGATATAGGACATCGAGTGAAAAATTAAAAAAAAATTGATTTAATTATGAAACGACAAATTGAATAATGAATGAACAAAAAATATATTTTATAAATTATAGTAAGTAATTAAGTAAAGAGAATGAAAATAAAATATATAAGTATTACACGTTGGATTAACCAGGAAAGTTTCATTACGCGTTGGGCACGTCTCTAATACATAAAACGTACGGAGTATAATATAGTTTTTTTTTTGTGTTTCCACATTCGGTATTAACTTTGAGACCTGACTAATATATGATCAAAAGTATATACTATTTATATACTTTGATGTATATAGAGATGTATATTATATGTATAATATATGTATATTTAATATAAAATATATACACTACATATATAACTGTATATATATTTTATAAACTAGATAGCTCAAGGATAATGAACAGTAGTTTACATTGATCATAGTTTCACTTTTAAAGTAGAATACTTCTTATTAAAGATTATTTTATATTTTGAAATCGAACTCAAACGTTTGGTTAGGAATAAATACAAAATGTTAATCTTTATTTGATTCTTCATATAAGGAGTCAAGAGAAGTCACAGTTCGTCCAATCAACTTGTTTTGGTATGTGTTTTTAGGGACATGAAGCCCTTTTAATTTCGTTTGTTAAAATTTATCCCCTCTTAATTTTCGTATAAGTATATATTATACTCTCTCTGTCCCTAATTACTTGTCCATTTTTTAAATGACACACCTATTAAGAAAATAATGATTGACATAGTGACTTCACCATTTTACCCCTATTAATTATGAATTGGATGAATTAAAAACTTAAGATTTTCAAAAAGTTCAACTTTTTCAAAGTAATTAATTGAGAGTATAATATGTAAAAAAATTGTTCTTTCTTGATTTGTCAAAATGGACAAGTAATTAGGGACAACTATAAAAGGAAAAGTGGACAAGTAATTAGGGACAGAGGGAGTATTACTTATATATGACACTACATTATTAAGCTAAGATCTAGAACTATTACCACTATGACACTATGATCCACCACTTTTCATCAACTTATTTCATTTATTGGACTAGTTCAAATTAATCACCCAAGTATGAGAACTATGTAAATTGGTTTTATTTTTAAGAAAAAAATAATTTTCTTAATTTTGGACAAGGAAATTTTGAGAAAATGATCAAAATGGTCCTTGATGTATTGGGGTTGCTTTATTTTGATCCTTAATATATTTTAAGTGATTGAAATAGTCCTTAATGTATGATAAAATGTGTTCAATTTAGTCTTTTACCCTAAACTTAACAATTTATCCCCAAAAACTGTTAAATATAACTGTGGGGCCCACATAACTTACAAATTCCACCATTTTTGTCATCTTTATTAGCTCAAAGAAAGAGTTTCATGAATTCTAAAACACCATTTTCTTTAACATCTAACCACACAATTACAAAATAATTATTATAAAAAGGTTGAATGAAATGGATCGTCAAGAATTTGAGCTAATAAAGATGGTAAAAATGGTGGATTTTGTAAGTTATGTGGGTCCCACAGTTATATTTTACAGTTTTTTGGGGGTAAATTGTTAAGTTTTAGGGTAAAAGACTAAATTGAACACGTTCTGTCATACATGAAGGACTATTTCAATCACCTAAAATATATTAAGGACCAAAATAAAGCAACCCCAATACATCAAGGACCATTTTGATCATTTTCTCTTGAAATTTTGGTACATGACAGCTTTCACACATCTGAGCAAAGGAAGATAATGGAATATTATTAAACAGCCATACATACACATAATAAAAAAGCTCAATAATTAAAGAGACAGTAACAAAGGTGTCTATTAATTGAATATGAAGGGAACAAACAAACAAACAAACATACAAGAAATGGGCACAAAGATCAAGATTAATGGCCAACACTACAAATGGCAAAGTTTTGCTTAGGACCAGCCTATAGAGGCCAGGTTGATTGTGCTACTTTAATTTGACACTTGTTTTTTTGGTTGTTGTGTCCTTAGATTAAGACTCATTCCTATTGTTTGAGATGAGTGTTGCCTACCACTAAGAGTTTGCGACAATAGAATGATTGGAATTCTTTCATCTTAAATGGAGGTTTGTGATTATTATGAAAAACGTATTATTTATAGATATTATTAGGAGAATCGTGCATGTTTAATCTAGTATAGTTTTTTTTTTTTTTATCAACAATGAGTAATTAAGATCAAACGAATGTGCATTTAAGCGAAGAAATACTTCTAATTCTCGAGTATTAATCAATGCCCAAGATAAAGATTATTTGGTTCGGAGATTGCAAATAGAAAATAAAGATAGAATTCTAAACATGTCAAGTGAGTTAGATTAGCATATATCTGACTCAGTCCAACCTAATTATAAATCAAACTGGAACAACCTGATTGGAAGGCGTTAGGCTGAATGATTATACTAGGATGATAACTTTATTGCTAGTTAGGGGTGTACAAAATCGAATCGAATCGAAAATCGAACTAAATCGCAAATCAAGAAAAAAATCAGACTAGTGGTTGGTTTGACTTGGTTTGGTATTGAAAAAAAAACCTGACTATATTGGGTTGGTTTGGTTTTACTAAAAAAAACCAACCCGAGATTATATATATAATTTAAAATTTTTATTTTGTACATAAAAATATTTACTTTGATATAATTTTTAAATATTTCTTATACTTTTTCATAGTTTTTATCTTTTAATATATTATTTCAAGTTTGTATCATAGAATTCTGAATGGTTCAATAAAGATTATTGTCCACAGATATTGATATTTATAATAAAGCTTAAATCAAAATCAAATTAATACTAATGCAAAAAGAAAATCAATTCAACACTAAGAATGACAATAATATTGAATATTTGTTATTTGGTTTTACATTGGTTTAGACAATTCAAATACATTGTCTAATTTTAATTTCCTTTAATATTTAGTCATGTAACTAATACTTATTAAACTTATTTTAGCATGATTTAGTACTTTTAAATTATGATCATTTTCATTATGACTTGTTAATTTGTAATTATTTGTTTTACGCGATTTCATTATTATTTATTTTTTTTGTTGGATATTTTAGTGTCATTACTCATATCATATTTTGTGTTATTTTCTTAAGAAACACCTTAGATAGTTGTATTTTGGTAGGACTAAAGAAATATTTGAAGTACAAGTAAATTATATGTTTGTATGAATACTTTACTGAAAAAACCCGAAAGTCCAAAAAACCCGAGTTTTATTGGTTTGATTTGGTTTATAGATTTAAAAATCCGACACAAATGATTTGATTTGATATTTAAAAATCCGAACCAACCCGGTAATGTATACCCCTATTGCTAGTCAATGGATTCAATATGTTTGCACACGTTTGATGAATTTCTCAATAGATATATATGATTTGAATCGAAACAACAACATGATGTCGAACATGTATCCTGAAGGCTACCTTAACCATTAGGTAGTACTTTAGTTTACCTCAATCTATAACTTAGCTAGTATATATATATATATATATATATATATATATAGATAGGTCTTTTTTGTGTTGGTAGGGGCCATGAATTATATTATCTAGGTACTCCATCTGAAAACCCTAATTATATTCCAAGACCTAAGACCTAGGTTCTATTCTTCCATGCTGACACAAAACACCAAACCAAAGTTCCATCAAATTAAAAAGAAGTTGATAGCTCTAACTTACATGAACATCCTTTAACTATATGGAGTAGTACTTCATTTACTTTAGAAGTTAAGGGTTCATTTTTATTGGTCATTACAATTTTTGTTAATATTTATATATAAATATATGTTTTACTAGAAATTATTTCGTTCAGACCAAGCAGCAAGATGATTGTCTATTAATAACGTATATATAGGGAGGTTTAATTAACATATTCTTATAAACGAAATTGATTACTCCTACTTTGGAAATAAAATACTAGATGAAGTTTCTCCGTTCTTGATTATAGATTTCGAGGTAACGTCTCGAAAATAAATTCAAGAATTCAGATAACTAATCATTAATTTACTTTTTTAAAACATATGGTACACTATTGAAGTGGAAGACAAGATCCGGTTTAACCGGCAAGGTACAAACACTGATAAGCCAACAGTATTCCACACTACAAGCCCATCATGTCTTATGTATTTACTATCTCTTTATTATTCTTCAACTTCAAAAAATAAAATAAATAAAATTGTAATATGTAATATGAACAAAGTCATTGGTCTTAATTTCATAGACAAATCGTAACAAAAATTCTGAGATCGAATTTCATCATTCTAATCATAAGCTCTAACTTAGAAAAAAAATAAAGGAATATTTAAGATACGCTTGTTATATGAGTTTTTATAATTATAAATTCAGTTCCTAACAAGTTAAAATCAAAGTTGGTGATGTTATATTGTATTTATCCAAAAATTAGTAAAATAATATGAAATTGTGAATGGATTTGTCTTTTTTATTTTAAATTTGACACTATTGACCAAATTGTGAAACACTAAAGTATAATAGTAGACAAAATTGACTCAATTTGGAAGAATTGGAGGAGTGTTCCAATTGCAATTATGACAAGTGAGTTACTTCGCTTAGCTAAATTAGAAGTTTCAATTTTGAATTTTAGAAATGATACCATTCGAAATATAACTTTAAAGTTGCGTTAGTGAACTATAAATATGAATTTAATCAAACCTCAATATGTCAAATCCAAAAATATACTAAAATTGAATATTAGAACTATTTATCTTCATTCCATATTCTCAAAATTGTAGAAACTATACAATAACTTTTTTCACTTTTTCCTCCAAAATCATTTTCCCCCTCTTTTTTTTTTATCTTGTAGTATATATACATTTTAAAACTATCAAATCCAAATCACCAAAAAAAAAAAAAAAAGTGCTACAAACCGGCGGCGACCGGAGAATACTCGCCGTAAAAATCAGAAATGCCGGAAGCCAACCATAATCTCTCATTAAAACTCTCTTGCATATCGTCCGGAATAAATGGCGTCCGGCAAAGTGGACAAGTTTTCTGATCATGATCCATCCAACGGTCCAAACAACTCCGGTGAAAAATATGCCGGCAATTCGTCAACCGTCGGATCTCATCTTCTCCGTCAAACTCGTACAAACAAACTGCGCAACTCTCCGGCGGGTCAACCAGCTCAGAGAACTTCACCACCGGAAGTAACTCCCGGATCAACGCCGCCGACACTGAATGGAGCTCCGAGTGAGATTCGGGTCGGGTCGGAAACGACATTTCAGGTTCGAGGAAATCACCTAAACCAAAAACAGTGAAAATCGCGCAAATGAACTTTCTAATGAAACCGAGAACGGTTAGTAAGTGGACTAACAATTTGGGTAGGAATAAATCCGTATATCCCACCGGAAAACCCATAATTTTTCTCTTCGTAAGAACAAAAAAAAGACAACTCTAAATTATAATTGTTGTTATAATAGATAGTTAGGGACGAAGAAGATGAGATTTGAGAAAGGGAGAGAAAACGGAAAACGGGGAGGTGGGTTATATAGGGGGAGAGGGGGAGTTGTGAAATGACGGAAAAGGGTATGTGTTTTGGAGGAAATTACGATGAACCTGTGTGAATTTGAGGGGTAGGGGGTGGACGGGGGGGTGGGGGTACGTAGGGACGTGACGATGTGTTTGTATTATACGCTAATGTCCCATTCTATAGTTGTAGGGGTAGGGGTGCAGTTGTCGTACAATTTGGGCCGCTCACTGATGAACACGTTGTGTTTTTCTTTTTTCTTTTTACCTAAAAGATTTAACGGTGTTTTATTTGGACATCGTTATGTAATACATAAACATGATATTTATGTTAGTCAATTTTGAGTGTATACAAGTAGACGTCTAAATTATGAACGAGTAGGCATACATGTCTTACATGACAAATCTCACTAACTAATGCATCTCACCCTATTTGTCATGTAGGACGTATCAGCTGTATGTATATATTTACTAGTTTAACTTTATGATAGTTTAAATGTTTACTTGTATTTGTATACATCTGAAGTTTGAGGATATAGATGTCAGTTCAAGCCAAGTTAAGAGACATGTTTATGTATTATGTGTTTTAAAAAAGTTATTGTATGTTATTTATCTCAAAATAATTTAAGTCATGCACGATTGAAAGGTAAATATGATTGAAATACATATACAAATAGTTAAACTTCAGTTATTTGTAATTATCTATCGATTGATTTGATGAAAATATCTGATAATTTTAGATGGACTCTAGCTCTATCCCATCAATTTCATTGTTTTACTACTATTACGTAATTTGGAGAAAAGTTTTTTTTTTTTTTTATTTGTAAAATTAAACATTTTGGAATATCTATCTCATGTGAATTTTCACTTTAAGTTAATGGTGGAGCGTGGCATATTTAGACCCTGGATGAAAAATAAAAAGAATAAGAAATATATTGATCATGTCACTCAAAAAGGAGATGAAGGTTACTTTATGACAAATTTAAATCATCTTTGTAGTTTTCAATTAAATATAAATAAAAGTATTCACAAATCTAATGATAAGAATGATGACGTAAAAAAATTTGGTGGACCAAAAGGCAATTATGATATATTATATATGAACTATATATAAAATTCAAGGGGAAAATGGAATATGTACGTAGTTTAAAACAATTCAATTTATACAACAGTAGATAACATATAAACCTTTAAATGTATAGTACATTATTTGGTTGAATATTAAAAGATAGTATGGATATACGTTAATTACGTAGCATAGTTTTTTTTTTTTTACCTACACTGTCACTTTAATTAATACGTAGATCATATTTCAATTTTTAGTAAAATAACCTTCATCTTCAAGAATTAATTAATTATGGCAACATATGTTTAAATAGAAAGTAATTATGCCTTAAACAAGTTGAGTATTTCTTTTTATGACAATTTTAAGAGATGAGTCACAGCCCACAAAGCAGAAGAAAAAGAAGTACTATATTGTTTTGTAATGAAGTTTCGAGGAACTAATCTTTGTATATATCTATTTTTAATATAATAAAAATAAAATTTATATTATGATCATCAAGTGTATATATACATCATTTATTTGTACAAAAACAACCATGGATATAATTGTTCATGCATACGTTTAATTTTAACCATCTTTACGTAAATGAGATAATATTATTTGAGATGTTTCGATTTATGTTATACATTGATCTATAAACGCACCCGGTTTATAGAATGAATGTGTTAAAAAGGGAATGAAGTAAATTTAAAATTACATTAATTATTTTGTTGTTGTTGAAAGACTAGTTAAATATTAGACATAAAAGAAAAAGATTCATATAGACCACCACGTCTACTAGTTTAGAATAAGTTTTTTGTCTTGCTAATACGTTGATTTTGAACCTAAATATTTTTTAAGAGTATTTTGATTTATATGCCTATAAAATATAGGAATATTTATTGTTATTATTATTAATTTATTCTTATTTTTATTTGATATAATAAGTTGAACTTAAATGGAGAAATATTGTTACTGAAAATTTATATAACTAATTCTAATTTGTTTGAATTGAGAATCAATTATTATGGTGTGTTCATGTAAAAAATAGATAGATGCAATTATAGTCCTCCCCAAAAAAGTGAGTTTTCACTTGAAAAAATTAGGTAATGTACATGTACCAATAAAAATAGTAGATAGAAAATGACTCATCTAGGAGTAAAAGTGGGCTTAGCTCTTTTTTTTCAACCTTTTGATTGAAATTTGACTTCTTTATTTTCAACGTATTTTGAGTACAAGTTTTTGCAATCTCTAGATGAGATGATGATTGAAAAATGACCACAATCCTTGTGAATATATTCTAGTTACTCCTTATTAGTTTAGGTATCTAATGTGATAATTTTACCTAATTTAAATATAAATTCGAAAAAAACATCAAAAAATATACTTTTGTTATTCTAAACTCGGTCCGCTTTTATAATTTTGCTTCTTATTCCAAAGTAAAAAAAGGTAAGGACCAAGAAAATCTAATGAAATAATATGTGAAAAAAGGTTTTTTCTTCTAGTAATAATAAAAAAGCAATGGGACCAAAAGGGAGAAGTCATGAAGGAATTATGCAATATCCAAAGGCATGAAGTGGGGACTAATAGTTTCTAGCATTTAATCATCCTTGTCAAAAAGCACAAGGAGAAAAACAAAATTAGAACAAAAAAACAATCATACATCATCTTAGCTTATTAAAAACTCAAAAATAATTTTTAAAAAATAGAAGGCCAAAACATCATGAAGAAAAAACAATATATAAGTCATCTTCTTAGCTTATTGAAAACTCACAAAAACAAAACAGGCCAAAACATGATAAAGAAAGAACAAATTGTAAATGGGGAATAGAAGGAGCAAGAATTAGAAAGGGGCTCACACCTTAGTTAGCTAGTGGGGTGTTATTTGGTGCAAATACCCATTGTGTTGTCATTGTTGCATCTTCATTAGGGTGCCACTTTGCCCAATTATTTTGTCCACTTTGTTAAACAAATCTTCAAACTTATTCCCATGTTCTCTTATTTGCCTCCCCTTTAATTAATTAATCACTATCAGGTTCGAGCTAGGGACGCAAGAGGTTCATCTGAACTCTTTTCACTAAGAAAAAAATATATACAACGTATATGTTGAATTATCTTGATTTCTTTTTGTGTTAATTACTTCTGATCTTGTTACTGATCATGCTAAATATAATTTAAATCTTAAATCAGTCTATTGTTGTCAAGTCACAATCGTGTTCCTAAATTGCCATTAATGAAATGGAAGGCAAAACATGTGCATATAGAATGCGATACCTACTATATAAGCATGGGCTATTCACAAATTATTATTATTAAAGATAACATCAATATAGTGCAAATATTAATGGATGGATGTTGGTGGATAAAGAAACATGATCCATCACTTTTACTCCAACAATTATGGGTAGTGAGATCTACCTTATAATTTTTTTTAATATGTTGAGATAATGAAAAATGAATATATGTTTTTGAATCCTAAGATATAAAGAGAGGAAAAAGAAAGCAAATATTATTGTGGGATCATATGGCCAAAAGAAAAAAAAAAAAGTGCAAATGTCGGCAAGGGGTAGTGAGTGATGAGCTTAAGAGCATGGGTGGGTTTTGGATTAAGTGCATAGGCGTGGCTTGTTTTTGGCCAAGGTTGGGTGTGTAGGGTACTTGTGTTTCTTACATCTTCTACTAACCTCTAATATTCCAACACTCACTTATCTCTTCCTCTAGACTCGATGCACAGCCTTGGACCAACGATAAAGTTATTTTTATTGTAATTAGGTAGGCGCAAAGTTAGGAAGGTGCAATCGGGGTTCATGATCCGTATCTCATTGTTGAAAAATTTCACTATATGTATATGATCAATATATTATTTATGTACATATAACAGATTTTAAATTCTATTTGCTTCTTCCTGTGCCTACTTATTTATATTTTTAATTTCATTTGTAGAATTTTTGGCTTTGCTATTATGCATAAGTCACGAGTTTGAGCCGCAAAATCTAATGTTAATGCTTGCATTAGAGTTGCTTATCTACAATACACCTTCTTGGGTTGTGGTCCTATCCAGGCCCTTGATGAATGTGAAATACTATGTACACCGGGTAATTCCAAATCCTAGAAATAAAACATTCCAATAGAAAGTGATTTATCCTTTATTGAAAACAGTTTAACACAAATTCAAATTAATCAGATAAGTAAACTCTAGAAATATAAAGAAAATGCTTTTATTATCTTACGATTAGTCAGAAATTTATATAGGAACAATCCGTAATAGTGAATTTGATGAATCAGTCAAACTTTACTTTTTTTATCCCAAATTAACCACCCAACCCCCAAAAAAGAAGTACAAAGTAGAGAAATTAAAGTAAAGGGAAATTACCTTGACCCTTAAACCATGTCTAACAAGGCCAAGACATGGTGCCCTACAAAAGAATGGAAGTATTATACAAGAGTATATACTTATTATGAAATATACATATAATATATAGTATTATTATTTTTTATTTTTTTTTCCAATCTAGAGAAATGTCCAACCCCCACCCCACCTCCAACCAGTTGGAAGGGAGCACCATTTCTCACACATATTTTCTTCACTAGTCTCCAAAACACCTCCACTCAACTCTGCTCCCTTTCCATTCTCTTTATGTGATTCTGTCATTTAATTTGCTTATGCAAATCAAACACTTTCTCAAGAAAAGTTTAAGATTTTATATTTCTTATTTACTTTGTCACTTTGAATTTTACAGGCATTTTAAGAAATAATGATTAATATCAGTATTTTATCATAATATTCATATTAATTGATGTATAGTTTCATATTCAAGAATGTGGTCTAGTAATCAATGAAGTGATTAAGAATTCTGAGGTTTCAAGTTTAAAACTCAGCAGAGATATCTGTTGTTGATGGGAAGTGGCATGTATCCGGTGGAGGAAATTGTTTTTGGTTGCATGATTGGTGTAATAA